AGGTATACTCATGGGTACATTGAAGCGTGAGAGCCATGGAGTCACATCTGGTGACTTTGGTGTGAGAGATGGGGAGGGATCATTTCTTAATCACACTAAACTCAGTCTCTCTTCTTTAGCCAAAGAGCTGTCTGTCAGTCACTGCAACCCAGTCATGAATGTTTCTTCAAGCCCAAGAGATATCACTGGAGGAAATGCTCTAGAATTGACCAGATGGAACAGAGCTGACCAGATGGCAGCCACTTGGTTGCATTAGACTGTACAGACGCTATCTAATGTAAAGCCCACACTAACCCAGAAGTCCTAGTTTTCTGATCTGCAAAATGGAGGCTAAGTAGCTGTGGGGAGGACCCAAGTGTTTCTTCCCCAGATGAGTGAGTAGCATTTCCCGCCCCAGGGAATGGGAGTGTCCGGTGAACTAAGCAGGCTCCCAGAAGAGAGGACATAACTGTGGGCACATCCAGTCATGTTGCCTATGTACAGTCTACCCCATTCCCAAGGGGGTGAGCTAGTGGAGTAGGTGAGGTCATGAGTTCTGCCTGCAGGCATCCTCCTGACCCTGGTTGTTACCACCATCTGGTTGTTATATCTCGTGCTTTTGTTTTCCTATCTGTAAACTATAACTAATAATATTACCTGGACCACATAAGGCAATAGTCTAGATTAAACAAGTTAATATATGCAGAGAATTTGAACCTGAGCCTACTATTTAGCAAGCAAGTAGTGAATGTTAGTAGCACTATCCTTCAACACGGGCTCCGTCTGGGATTCAGCAAATGTCTGAGGGAGAAAAAAATTCAGAAAGAAAGAATGAAAAGAGTCTGTCTTCTAACCATTGAATTCAGCCAAGTTCAAATTTAATAGAAGATTCATGAAAAAAACTAGAGCAATAATTCCCATTAGAAAGATATCTGGGGTGGGCCCGGGTAGGGCCTCCCTGATGGTACAGTGGGTTAAAGCGCAGCACTGCAAGCCAGCCGCAGCCACTTCAGTGCGAGTTCAATCCCTGGCCCCGGAGGTGACCACATGGCGGCAGACGTCCCCTGAGCTGCCCACTGCTCCCCTTCATTGATCTGCCTGTTCTGCTCCCCACTCTGTCTCTGGTGAAGCCTCTCACAGCCCCTGCACCTCTGGCCTGTACCCCAGTTCTGTATGCATAAATAAATAAATCTTTTTAAAAAAAAAAAAAAGACATCTGAGGGCCTCCCTGGTGGCACAAGTAGCCCCCTGGCTACTCACAGCTCCCTGTGGAAATTCATTTCCACAATGATTCTCATTTTCACAACAATATCCCACCCGTCATCACCCCATCTGGTTCCGCCCCTCAAGTCCCAGCTCCCAGCAACTCTGTTGCTCTCTCAGGTGCACAGTACCTACAGTTTGACTTATCTAAGCCCCAGTCTGTGACCCTTCCCAGGCCTCACTCCCTCAGTCTAGCCTAGTCTTTGAGTCCATCATATCAGCCACTTTTGCCAGCTTCTTCTCTGCTGCCTGGTCTGCCCTTGTGGAAGCTCCGTGGTACCCAGCCTGGGGTGGGCCCGATACTAATGGCAGGATAAATATGCTACCGTGCAGACTGGTGACAACTCAGACTTGGGTTTCTGCCTCAGCAAAGCCCTCTGAGCTTCCTGGCCCTGATCATCTCTACTCTCCTCAGTCACCAGGAGCCGATATCTCAACGAGACCATGGGCTACTTTCTATCTACTTCTGCCTTCATGCCCTCTCCCCCAGGATCCTGGGGAGGGGAGTCCTTCTTCTGGATGATCTTCAGACCCTCCGGCCTCCTCTCTCCTCCACCTGCACGGTCGCCAGGGGTCTATAAATGGCCAAGTTAGTGAACACTCCCACCTTTGCTACATCTGCATTTGACCTCTGCCTCCCACTTCAGCTTCATTCCTTCCTAGGAATCCCTCCCTCTCTTCTAGTTTTCTGACCTGGAGCCGTCTGTGCAAAGTTCCTCTCTGTCCACATGTTCTGCTTACCCCTCAAATGTTTTAGATTCTGAAAGCTCTGTCTAAAATAGCGCCAATATTTTTGAGTTGGATGACCAGAAGTCTAAAGCAGTTCTTCACAGTTTCTGACAGTCATCAAAATGAGGTCACTCCTCAGAGCACTCCTTTGTAAGCCACTGCTTAGTTCAGGCCTTTATCACCCTCGGCTGGATGATCTCAAACACCTCTGAGGGATCTTCCTACCCCTACTCTTGCCTACTCTAGCTCGTTTCCCACAATATACTTGAGTGTTGGCTTTAAAATATGAACTGACTACAGCCACCTCTGCTTAAAAATGATCAGGGACTCCTCAGAGTCTCAAGGACAAAAACCACAATTCCTAGAGCAGGCCCCTGCCTGCCAAACAGACCATATCTTATCCATCTGCTTCCCAAATACCAGCATGGCATCTAGTCATGAAGGAGGCACATTCACCAATGAGGTGTCCATCATCCTTTCCTACTTGGTTTCCTCCACACCAGTAATTTGCTATTCCATGAACAGTGGGCTGAATGAATGAAAGGTGTGTTACCAACCCTTACAAGATTTCCAGCAAACCCTTCTGCCCCGGACCTTGGTCAAAGCTTCATGGCATCTCTTGCCTCCATTCCTACAAAGACCAGGCACCAAGGGACCCCTTCAGCTCATCTTTTCTCCCCTCTCCAGACCAATCAACCAAAATGGACATTGAACCATGCTTCTCCCTGGTTCCAAACCCTGTCGTGTACGTGCTACAGCATGAGAGATGCTTGAAAACGCCATGTCGAGCAAAAGCAGCCATTTTCTACAGCCCGCCTATGGTAAGATACCACTTGTCAGAAATGTGCAGAAGAGGCAAATCTATAGGGACAGAACAAGATCAGTAGTCACTTAGATCTGGGCAGTGCTGGACAGAGGGGAATAGCAAAGAGAAAAAGATTTCTCTTAGAGTGAGGAAAATGTTCTATGGTTGACTGTGTTTATGGTTGCAGTCAGTGATTATGCTAAAAATTATGGTAGTGTACACAATAGGTAGGTGAACTTTATGATATGTGAGTTCCATATCCATATTTTTGAAACAACAAAGGGAACAGACCTTGGATGGCTGCCCATCCCCCACTAGGGAGACACTAGGCGGCCACTTCAGTACAACTACCAGGCACCAGCACTTACTACATGTAGTGTTGTCCTTAGGCACTTTGTGTTCCCCTTTTCTCCTCACACAGCTCCTCTTAATGGAGATGTTAGGGTGACACCCCCTGTGCAGGTAGGAATACTGAGGAGAAGAGGCACTTGGAGCAACTGATCTGCGGTCCCACACCTTGTGGCTGGTCCCACACAGGCACTTCTTGCAATGTGGTGTGAGGATCTGTTTACAGATTCCTCCCCACTGGACTGAGACTCTGGGGAATTAGTGATGATGTCTGTCTTAGCACCTGTTCCCTGACCTGAGCCCAGTGACTGTCAGACCTGACTCAGGACGCTTAGAAGGACATGGGGATGTACTGAGGGTGGATGTGGGGGTCTCACAGCCTTGGGCCCAGGTCCCCCGGATAAAGGCAGCATCTGCACAGCCGTGTGCTCCCCTCCAGGAGCTGGAGTGTAGCAACTGGTTTCTCCTGGGCCCCAGTGTGGTTCCCTCCCTATAGCCTGTCTTCTCTCCTGGGGCTTTTTCCTGTAACCAGGAGGTTGTCCCTACCCAGAGTCACGGGCTCACCCCTGGGCCTGGTTTTGCCCCACCTGTCTCCAGTGCTGCAGGCTGTGCAGGAAGCTCCTCCAAGGCCCACCCAGGCCCTGCCCAGTGCCAGCTGCGGTGCCAGGGCCAGTCCTAGTCCTTCAGATTTAGCACCTAGCGGATTCTTCTGAGGTCCTGGTAAGGCCTAGATTTCACAGGGGCTGGAGAAGGCATTCCTGGCTGGAGAGTAGGCCTCACTGAAGGAAATAGGGGCTTTCTCAGATGATAACCTGGGGGTAGCAGAAATGACCACAGCTGCTGGGGGGTCAGAGACATGACTCAGCAGTGGAATAGCTCCCGAGGGCCTCAGGCAGTGCCCCCGCAGTCCTCTGGCCCTTGCCAGCCTGGGGCAGACATCCTGGCCCTGCTCCTACCTCCTTCTGAGAGTGACGGTCATGTGCTGGTCCTTGTTCCCCGCCTTCCCTTCCGGCATCTCATAAGTCACTTGCCAACATCTACGGACATTTTCTCAGGAACCTCTATAAGCAGCTCTATCCAAACGTCTGGTTAGGATTTAGGGCCAAGTTAGGACAATTTACTCAGACCCTACAGTGCAAAAGTGTGAGAGGTAAAAACTAGCAACATGGCCCTCCCTGACAAGGACAGCCAAGCCCTCTGACATCCAGTTTTTACCTGTAGTCCAGACTCCCCCTACACTGAACACGAATACTGAGATCAGACAACCACCTCCAAGACACAGAAGGCCACAGCAAGAGCTTCCCCAGAGGAGAAGCCTGCAAGCTCTCCACTCTTTGTGGCCCCTTGGGAAAGCCAGGCCCCAGGGCCCTCAGAGTGCAGCAGGGAAGTCACTGCCTGCTCTTGGAAACAGGCAGGAGTAGAAACCCCAGGTGTCCCTGGGGTGGGGCAAGGGGAATGGACCCCCTTCCTGAGAATTCAGGGTCTGGGACCCCCATGCTGGCTGCAATCTCTGCAGATACACAGTCCCACTCAGGAACAACTCCTTGGGACAGTTTCCCTGTCCACCAGGGGTGGGGCCCCCACCCTGGCTGTCCTTATGCAGTGCAGGGTTTGGCTTCAGCAATCTCCCTTCCCAGCAGAGATGTGTGCAAAGTCAGACCGGGATGCCCAGGAGCTGAGATAGAGGAGGACACAAACAGCAGCCCTCCCAGCCCTGAGCCCGCTCCAAGGAGGTGCAGCAGGTCAGGGGAGACAGGAATCTTTCCCCAAGCACCCAGCAGCCAGCTCACCCCAGGGTGTTGGCGTCTGCCAGGGGAACACGCCTGCCAACCCCTGGGCCCAGCCCCTAGCCCTTAGAAACAAGGGCAGAACTTACCATGATAGAAAAGATGAGGGGGATGAGGTTGAGGGGCCAGACAGGGCAGAAGCAGGAGGCAATGGCAAGGATGAGGTAATCTTTGGGAACTTCTCGGTCCTGGGCATCAGAGACAGAGACAATGGAGGATGCCCGCCTCGAGCTGACCCGAGAGAGTGAGCGGGAAAGTGGGGCGTCCTGGTGCCCCTCAGATACCACCTTGAAAGGCAGGCCGTGGCCATTCTGCTCCAGGTCCAGAGGCCCAGAGAGGGACTTGGACAGCTTCAGGGGCTTGTCATCCTTGACCTCCACCTTAGTGAGGAGCTTCTCCATCTCCGGCAGATCCAGGGGTGAGGCGGCAGTGCCCGGCTCCTGTGCTGGGGGAAACTGAGGCTGCACAGGGTTGGCCATGTTGATCTGGATCTTGGGCTGCTCCCACAGGCTGGGGAGGGGGGGCTCCACTGGGCCTCAGCGTTCCATTCCTCTGCCCACAGTTCAGGGGCAGAGTGCACCCCAGGGGAGCAAGGCCAGATGGGGGCAGAGAGGGTCAGCTTCCCCAGATCTGGTAAGTCCTGATGCGGCTGGGGGCTGCTGCTGCCAGCGCAGAGTTCCAGGAATGTGGAGCCTTCAGCGTGGCTCAAGTTTGAAGCCAACTTCGCTGGTGCGCTGACTGCGGGAGATGGGCCAGCTCCCCGCACAGAGAACACTGCTCTCCCGAGCGAGCGAGGCTCAGGCCAGGCAGAGGCTGTGTGTGGGGGTGTGTGTGGGTGTGCAAGCCACACAGTCGCCTCGGCCCCGCCCTCCTCAGAGATGCTTTTCCTTTTCAATTCCCCCTCTCCCCAGAGAACCGCCCGGCTTCATCCTCCTCAGCCCAGCCAGCCCCGCCCAGCCCCGCCCAGAGGGACGTGGGCTGACTTCTCATTTCCACTGAGATCCCAGGACATGCTTCTACCGCTGGGCTCCAGAAGTGGGGGAAAGACCGGGGCACAAAGGGGTGTGCTTCAACTCTCCTGGGAAAAGGAGCCCTCTGCTTTCCTTCTCCTGGAACAAGCTCCTGCTTCCTCCTATCTGCTGGGAAACTCAGGCTCGGGACCTGTCCTATCGCCTTTGACCTTGTCCTCCCTGTCCCAGAGGTGGGTAGCCCAGAGCCCAGCTCCTGCCTCCTTATAACAAATGAAGGGGAGCAAGCCCAGGGTGGCCCTGGAGGGTACTGGTGGCACATACTTCTCTGATTGGGTTTCCGAGCAGCTCACCAAGAGATGGGGCAGAGGGGTATTGTGGAAGGTGTGTTGAGCCCATCTCATGCCCATGAGTTTTTCTGCCATGCGGAAGAGCAGGGAAGGAGCCTCCCTCAGAGGCTCAGAGCTCTGAGTGCCTGGGGTCTGGATGCTTGACCTCTCTTGCTCCCTCTCTTTGCTCTTTCTGCCTCCTTCTCTGCATTTCTTTCCGTGTCTCCCCCCTCCCCTTACAGTTTTTTGTAAGGGTGACCTGTAACCCCAGGGTATAGTGTGGTTTTAAGAAGGGTATAAAAGACAACTTAGAATTCTAGGATTGTGTACAGTAGGGGCTAAGAAATTAGAGATGGAAGGAGTCTCAGATATGTGGAGGTCAAACCCTTTGACACCACAAATTAGAAAATAAAGGCCTGGAAATGAAGAGAATCTAATCCAGTTGATAACAAACGCTGGGCTCGGTTTCCCTCAGCCAATAAAAGGAAGCAGTTTGAAAAGCAGGAAAGCAGTTTAACTGTCCACACACTGAGGAGGGCAGCAAACTGAAAGACCACCGTCCTGCTCTTGGGCAGAGAGCACTTACACAAAGGGGAAAAACAAAAGGGAGAGTGTAGGGATGGGCATGGCCCTTCAACAATGCAGAAGTTGGGGTTTTCGAGGCGCCAGCTTGCTTGGTTAACTCCTGATGTGGAACTTCCTTAGAGGTTTAACTTCCATACTCTCCTCTTAGGGATGTCCTTCCTTTTTCTTAGAATGCAAGGGGACAAACTTGTTGAAGGCTACAGATAGGCATGCTTATCTGATGGGGCAGGAAGAGAGCTGTCCTGTCTTCACTGCATCACCAGTCTGTTTTCCAGTTAGACATTAATTCCTGGTCCAATCATAAGGGCTATTTTGAAGCAAGGATTTCGGGTTCTATATCAAACTGGTTTCAAAATGCTGCTTCTAGCAAATGTGGGGACAGGTGAAGTGGGAGCATTGCCCTGCAGAGAAAATAGAGAGGACGGAAGGATAGCAGTGCAGGGAACAGGCCAGGGCCTGGGGGGGGCTTAGAAAACAGAGAGGCCACCTGACCTGAATACACTTCAAAATGTGTGGGCGTGGGCCTCCTTGTGACCGCGGGGTTAAGTCTCAGCACTATCACCTACCTCCACTGTGGCCTCAGTTCCATCCATCCCAGGCTGGGAGCTGACCTACTTGGTGCAGCAGACCTCTCCTGTCTCCCTGCTGCTCCCCTCAGCAGTGTATTTCAGTGGATCTGCCTGTTCTGCTCCCCACTCTGTTTCTGGTGAATCCTCTCACCACCAGCCCCACTCCACCTCTGGCCCACACCCCAGTTCTTACACAAAATAAAAAAATGTGCATGTCTACCATAAAGCACATAGAAGAAAATGTAGACAAAACACTCCACAGCATAGACTCTGTGGACTTGTCTCCAACTGTGAGGAAAACAAAAAGAATATAAACAACTGGGCTTCTGCATGTGAAAGAAACTATAACTAAAATCATTACAGCAAAAAATCCCCTGCTGAATGAGAGAAAACATTTGCACATTATACATCTGACAAAGGCTCGATACATAAGAACTATAAGAACTCATACCACTCAACAAAAAGAAAACAAATCACCCAATTAGCAAAGCACTAAATACACCTTCCTCCAAAGAAGATCTACAGGCTGCAAATGGCACATGAGAAATATGGTCAGCATCACTTGTCACAAGGCAAATGCACATCGAAAATACAGTGCGATCCCATCTCACGCCTGTGAGGATGGCCCTTACCAAGAAGACCCAAAAAAACAAGTCCTGGCGAGGGTGTGGAGAAGGAGACTCATATACAGCTGGTGGGGTGTAGGCGGGCAAAGCCCCTGTGGAAAGCAGCGTGGCCCTTCCTCAATGTATCAAAGGTGGATCCGCCATCAGACCAGGCAACTCTGCTCCTAGGTATCGACCTGAACAATATAAAAACACTAATTCGACAGGAAACGTGCACTCCTGTATGTACTACAGTGCTACTTACACTGGTCAGACTACAGAAACTGCTTCGGTGTCCAAAAACACATGAGGGGATCAGGAAGCGGTGGTATATATACACAATGGGATACTACTGGGTTATTTAAAGAGACAAACTCTTGTCATTTGCAATCACATGGGTGGAGGTGATAGGGATTATGCTGGGCAATCTAAATCAGAAGTAAAAAACACTGGATGGTGTCACCTTAGTGTAGAATAGAGGGAAACAAAACAAAGGCTAGATGAAGCCAAACTACTAACAAACCCTAGAAATGTGATGGTAGAACTGAGGCTGGGGGCCGTGGGGGGAAGAGAACAAAAGAGGGGGGAAGCACAATGGAAAATGGGGGTGAACTGTGGGTTCTGTGGTGGCGGAGGTGGTGTGGTAACAACACCTGAAAGGGGAGATGCTATTCTTCTAAAACACACAACACTGTAAACCAGTTACCTCCGTTAAAAATGAAGTATGGCTGGCCCTCCCTGGTGGCGCAGCGGGTTAAAGCACAGCACTGAGAATCTGAGGCCACTTCCGCATGAGTTCGATTCCCGCCTGCCGCCTGCCCCGGAGGAGACCACATGGCGAGCCAGACCTCTCCTGGCCCGCCCGCTGCTCCCCTCAGCAGTGTACTTCGTCGATCTGCCTGTTCTGCTCCCCACTCTGTCTCTGGTGAAGCCTCTCACCGCCCCTGAGCCTCTGGCCTGTACCCCAGTTCTGTGTGAATAAATAAATAAATCTTTAAAAAAAAAAATGAAGTATGGGTGTCTGAGACAGCCCCCCAACTGTAAGTATCTACCTGGATAGAATCCCACGTGGCAGTGTGGAAGCTGGCCCTGTAGGGAGGAACCCAGACCCACTGCCAGGCCTATAGCTGCCCAGCCGATTGCAGAGGGTCTAGCTAAATACTGAGCATCTGAGGTCTGGCTGGTCCAAACTGAGGTGTAGGCTAAGGATACAGCATGCACTGGATTCCAAACCTTTAGAACAACAACAAAAAGAATGTAAAATATCTCGATTCTTTGTATGTTAATTTTATGTTGAAGTGATAATATTTTGGATCTATTGGGCTAAATAAAACATTAAAATTAATGGCAACTGGGCCCTCCCTGGTGGCGCAGTGAGTTAGGACACAGCACTGCAAGCTGGCCACAGCCGCTTCAGTGCAAGTTCGACCCCCAGCCCCGGAGGTGACCCACATGGCACAGCAGACCTCTCCTGACCCGCCCTCTGCTCCCCTCAGCAGTGTACTTCGTAGATCTGCCTGTTCTGCTCCCCACTCTGTCTCTGGTGATGCCTCTCACTGCCCCTTGACCCCTGGCCTGTACCCCAGTTCTGTATGTATAAATAAATAAATCTCTAAAAAATTGATGGCAACTATATCTTTACATTTAAAAAAAAATGTACCTACTAGAAAATAAATTAAAAAGGTAGCTCACATTATATTTCTACTGGGAAGGGCTGGCCTAAAAGACAGACTGAATCTGACACAAAGGGGCTTTTTTTGACTTAATAAAAACTCTAAGAGAAAATAAAAAGTGCAGAAACCCCGAGAGGCGGGCTTAGAAATCCAGTTTGCTCTGCCACAGCAGGATGCTGGGCTCACAGCGCCCTCTAGTGACCAGTGGTGAGAAGGGGAAAACCAGAGAAGAGTGGGGACCGGAGACAGTGCAGGGGAAGGGTGAGGCTGAAAGAGGTTCTGGAGAAGACTTGGGCCTGGTGGACTTAACCCTACCCGCTGCTTCTGTTCCAGTCTGCAGTTTCTACCTCTTCCCACCCTAGTTTAGGTCTTAAGTGGAGAACCACGAGCCATAGTCATCACACAGAGCTGGGTTTGGCTTGCACCATGTAGACTCATACTGTTTATATAAATATATTTCAATAGCTTCTCGGCCTTTCAGCTAAGATCAAGTGTAATATCTTATCAATTTAAAATACATTTCAGGCCCGCCCTCATGGCGCAACAGGTTAGGACGCAGCACTGCTAGCTGGATGCAGCCTCTTCAGAGCAAGATCAATCCCTGGCTCCGGAGGTGACCCACATAGCGCGGCAGACTTCTCCTGACCCGCCCGCTGCTCCCCTCAGCAGTGTACTTCGTCGGTCTGCCTGTTCTGCTCCCCACTCTGTCTCTGGTGAATCCTCTCACTTCTCCTGCACCTGTGGCCTGTACCTCAGTTCTGTATGCATACATAAATAATTTTTTAAAATACATTTCACATAAAAATTGGGTTTCAGACTTGTAACAGATGGGCTTATTTTCTCCAGAGCAGCAAACAGCTGGGTCGATTACAGCCTTTAGAAGTCTGGCCCGTGCTTCTCCCCCAGCTTCACACATGCCCGCCTGCCTCAGGGGCCTGAACCTTGAGTGCCAGCAGCTAGACAGGTGGGTGCGCCTCCTTCTGTTCCAGAGCTGGCACTGGTGAAGAACATAAAGAGACTGGAGAAAGGCCTTCCCTCTCTTTCTTCCGTCTTCACTGCTCTCCAAGGCCTGGTGTAAACCAGCTCCCTAGCCCATGGCAGTTGAAACTGGCGGTCACAGC